TGTGGCAGAAGTTTCGATCGTTGTGTTTGAGCAATACCTTCATTTGGATGCTTACTGATCAACCGGCAAGTGATGGAGGACTGTAGGCTGTATCGAAATACATCTAGGCACGGCAAGTAGAATTGTTAATGCTGTAACGTAGCCCAAAAATCGACGAAGGTATGTGCAAATTTATCGTTTCTGCTGTCCGTCAGGATGCAGGAGTCGTGTAACTTTCGCTGTTTCAGCAGCTACACCATTTTCCTGATTGCCTGTGGAATGCACGCCGTAATTCCCACGCGGCTCGACGCCGAGTCGAGTGACATGTGTTGTGCTGTTGTGTTTGGACTGTTTTCGGTTATCCTATTGCAGGTACGTTTGCGATGTGTGTGCTGAAATTTTGTCTGTTTCGACTCGTAATCGAAGGTACAGACAGTTAAGGCTAAGCGAGTCATCATTGTGTGGCATGATCTGTGTGTATGCAACAAACGAGTCACATGATCTAGTGAATGACTGTTTGAACTGTCTAATCAAATATGTGGGGGAGCGATATCTAAAACATCTAACGATAATGCTGCTCCAGTCCTATAATACATCGGATCACAACTCGCTGCATGGATGCTGATCACGCTTAGTCAATCCCACTCAGTGTTCACCCGGAAATTTCTTTAGAAACCAATCTCCACAGCAGAATATCATCATCTATGTGACACACGGTGCTCCTTCTATGACTGTGGTGTGTCGATGCCTCCCCTCTTTCTATTTGGAGAGTAAAACATTCCTAATGGCATCGTAATTCAATGTTTGACTCACAGATATGTTTGTCATCAAATGTGTGAACATACTGAGAATCAATTCTGAACTTGCTCAGCTAGTTTATCAGCTTTATGTAGAAACCGATTAGTGGCAATTCAATCTTCTACCGCACACACTGCCCACAGATGCCCTGCTAACCCGTTTCAACATGTTTCCGAGTTTCATTTTAAGGCACAAGATTTCTGTGCCACCAGTTCTTCCAACGAACAGTGCAAGATGTTCAACGAAGTGGACCTGCGCTGCATATCAGTGATTCTGATCGACTTAATCCAGTGAACCGTCCACAGAGGACGGCCTAGCGTTCTCTTAGCCAG